AAGCAAGCAAAATTAGACAGTACTGCGATGACATTACAATTTAAATTCAACGTTTTAGCTTTTTCATATTCCTTTACATGTCACTACGTTTAAATATGTTGACTTGGGATATTTTTTTCGTGGTTTTTGTATTAGACCCGTCCTCCATTTATTTGTAAGTCAATGGTTTTTTATAATATATTTTATTTATTTTTAAAGATCGATAACCTTTAATACACCTTTTACATACAACATTTTGTTTATAGAGTTGCTTGCAGACATCAAATTGGAATTAACTAAAGAACAAACACCGGTTAAAAGAAAACGAAAATCTCGGGACCTAAGAGCAAAGAAGAAATCTAAAATTAAAGACGATAGTGTTTCAAGTAAGTGGTTTTATTTTATTTCCTTTTTAAGATTCCGAACGTTAATGGTATAATATAATAATCAAAATTTTAATAAATCACTGATACAAGACAGTGTACTCCATATGTAATTCCATTTATTAAAAAAAAATGCAAAGCGCTTAAAGGTCGGACCCGACTTGTGCCCATGCATCAGCATCGCGTCGAATAAATAGTATGACGATGTGACCACCTAACATCGTCATCCCACCTTTTTATCACCTTTTCTCTGGTTCTCGGCCACTTGTTTTCAAATTTTGAATCGTTCCTTAATTCCTTTGCCTCGCCATTCTCATTTTCGTCGTCACTTCCTGCTCAATCGCAGCAGCGAGCAGTTCAACTGCATTCTTAACTGCGTCTAATTTTGATCCTTTTACTGTTCTCGACCTAAATCATGTGCCAATTTTAATGTTAATACCAATCTGCAATTCTGTATAACTCGGACCTTTTGGGCCGTTCTTTCTTTTCCTTCAAACTATCGAATAAATTTTTGTGGACCGAAGTATCCTATATTATTGCCGTTATCCTGGCCACGGTGGTTTACAACCTTTTCAATACTAAACGTGTTTTCATGGGGTTTGTTCAGTACGCTATCCCAATCGCATTACTATACCCGTTACCTAGATACATAAAATTATTCAAAAATAACACCAATTACTTTTTCAGAAAAGCTGAAACAAGAAAAAGCGGAAAAAGACTGGATAAAAATAGCTGAACGACGAGGCAATGGACCCATTCTTAGAGAAAACTCGCTGAAACTAATAGCTAATTCTACAATATGCGTTTTCCAATGGAACAAGAGTCGCTACAGATGTTTTTGCTGTAAAGAACCGTTTTCGGACATGAATTTACTACGGGAACACACAAATACCAGTCACAGTGTAGAAGAAATAAGAAAAATTATTATAATGCAACAAAATCGCCTAGTCAAAGTCGAAATTTCGCTGGTAATCTGCAAAATATGCAATAAAAGGTTTGATAGTTTAGACTTCCTACGAGTGCACTTGGAAATTCATGGCGTAAAATTTGATATAAACGAAGATTTACTGGTCCCCTTCAAGATTGGTGCAAATTTGAACTGTCAAATTTGTGGTGAAAGCTTTCCCATGTTTCGGCATTTAAACATTCACATGAATAAGCATTTCCAGAAACAGGTTTGTCATATCTGTGGAGCTGCATTTTCGAATTTAGTCTTTTTAAATTTGCACAAAACCAGATCGCACAGACCGCTGAGTTGCAAAGAATGTAATATCAATTTTAACAATAAAATGGACAAGAAAGATCACGACGTAAATGTGCACAATCTTAAAATTGAGAGAAAATTGCGGTTCCCCTGCCCGTATTGTTCTGAACGGTTCTTTCAAGAGAATTTTCGCGTTCAACATTTAGTTGAAAAACACGGGATGATCAGACCGGAGCATAAATGTTCATTATGCTCTAAAGTGTTTATAACAAAGAGTTTGCTTAACAATCATGTGAAAAATGTTCATATGAAGGAGAAAAATCATGAATGCGACGTTTGCCATCATCTTTTTTATACCAAGTCTGATGTAGCAAGGCATAAAGTTACTCATACGGGAGAAAAAAAGTTCTCTTGCAACATGTGCAATACTCTGTTTTCCTCTAGAGATTCTTTGAGACGTCACATTAAAAGGACACATGCTGGAATGAACTGAAATAAAATAGATTATTTCGTCTGTTTAGAGGTAAAACCATATAAGTGACATTTTCCACAAAAAGGCTTTAATTCATATAGCTATGGTAAGAAAATCATAGCTATAAACTTAATAAGAGTTTTATCTGCAAAAAGATGGTGAATTTTTTACAACTGGTAAATAAATTAGAGATTTTTTTGTGGAAAATGTTACTTATGTGGTTTTACCTTTAAGCGGTGATTTATTATACACATTTGAGTTTTATTTATACATATTAAACACTATTTCGGGTGCACGAGTCTCCCCACGCAACGTACTATTCCTTTCCTGTTCGTCTGGCGCACCGTGGATGGGCAAGAATCGACAAACGGTACCTTAACGAGATGCCACAAGGGCGTTGTGTCGGCGTTGCGTCGGCGTTGTGTCGTCGCAACTGCGTTGTGCTACACATTAAACAGAACGACATATCCTTTCGCCATGGTGGTAAGCATTATAGCGTAGGTATGCCATCGATACCCTAAGAAGAACCCGTCATTGTGTTGCAATGCCACAGAGAAAGTACTGTCCTTTAGCTCTGCAAAATATGTCATAAACAGTGGCGTCTACTACAGAAACTTTTGTTCAATACCTCTGTGGCCGAATGGTTATCATGCCGGACTGCCACGCAAGAGGTCCCAGGTTCGATTCCCGGGCCGGGAGAAATATATGTTTGGCCTACATTTATTTCTCTCGTGAGTCTGGGTGTAATTTGTGGTTGTCTATGTGTGTCCATGGCACCCGCGACACAGGGTTTCCCTAGTGCGGGGCTATGTTGAGTGTGTGCGTCTTTTATTTTATTTATTTATTTAATACTGGATTCAGAGCCTGTTAAAAAGTTGCTTGCCTCATCTGGGCATCGCACCGGCCAAATGTGAAAAAAAAACTAAAAGGAATTAATTCTATTAGTCCATTAAAACAACCAGTATTTTAATTTATTTATATTCGTTCAATAATGAATTATAAAAATCCAAAAAAATATAATGCGGAACAGAAGTTGTTTTGACTATATCGTCCAAACACCTTCTTAAAAGGAAATGCCTACTAACTGCTCACAACGAAGGAAAGTGTAGTACGTAAAGAGTTTATAAGAAACAATATTATGTAGACATGGTTTTTACCAGTGCATCAATAAATGGTGTTTTGAAAATACTTTGGCGTTTACATATTTGAGGTGTCCCAATAATCCTTACAGTTGACCCGTTCGATCAGTGAGAGTCATAATGGCGGGTGTAACTTAACGAATCCTAACAAATTTGGCATCAAAAAAACGTACCTAATTTGTACTATTTAATACCTCTGTTGAAAAAATTTGTACCTCCATCAGAACAAAGTTATAGCAATATCAAAGGGTGTACCGTATTGACTGTCAATATGGCGGGTGTACCTCGGATTACCCGTTTGTTTAATAATTGTATAAAACTTATTCGAAAAATTTGTACCTTAACAGTACTCTGAAGTAAATGAACCTCCAGCTCGATCTGCTGGTTAGTTTCTGGAAAATAAGACAAAATATGTTGAGATTTCAGAGTGCCGTGTGCACCTTATCGAATCCTGACATATTTGACACCAAAAAAATATACCACAATTGTACTATTTAGTACTTCTTAAAAAACTTGTACCTCTATCATAACGAAGTTATAGCGAATGCTATTACAGTACATAAAGTACGTAGGTACTGTCCTTCCATGTCTCGCCCTGTATGTAGAAAATAAGATGCTTGCCATCTTTATCACCATCCGTACTATCAGCGGAGCTGACACAAGTAAAATTCTTGTGAAGTCCGAATTTAGCCTGACTGGACATCAATCACTCGCTAACTAAAGAAAAACTTTAATTTCTGACGTTAATAAATAAATAATAAAAGATATACAAGGAAATTTTAAACAAGAAAAATTTGATTATTATTATTATTTGACTATTATTTTCTTCCATTACAATAAAATCATTATTTGAAGAAACTGAGTCTAACAGCATTAAAAAAAATAGTCAATTTTATTCATTTTGTGTGAAAAATGTGAAAAAATTTTATTCTTGACCAACTTTTGTCCCGATTTTTTTCTTCCCATACAATGAAATGATCCTTCATGAAACTGAGTCGATTAGCACTAAAAAAAATTTGAACAATTTTATTCATTTTTATGAACAAGTATATAAATAAATACACCGAAATTGTTTTCCAAATCAAGACTTAATGATTCGACAGTTTCCTTGTATCGTCTATGGTTTCGGATGTCCCCTTAATGTCCCATTTAAGAAAAACACTGTATTTGTGCACAGTTCAAAATACTCTACTATAGGAAATGAAACTATTTTTCCGGATTTAAATCGCGTATATTTGTTTTTTCAAACAAACCGACGTTTCGGGCCTTTACAGGTCTCATGGTCACGGTTTGAAAAAAACAAATATACGTGATTTAAATCCGGAAAACTGGTTTCATTTCCTATGTGCAGGGCTGGGCAAAATACATGCTACATCTTAATTGAAATACAAATTACAAAATACTTCCTTAAATGTATTTAAAATACAAAATACCAAATACTTTCTTGAGGTGTATTTGAAATACAAAATACAAAATACTTTCATGGGGTGTATTTAAAATACAAAATACAAATACAAATTACAAAATACTTTATTAGTATACTTATCGCGACATGTGGAAACCAACAATTTCCTTCAAAGCATTTCCTTCCACAATACATATCTTGAAAAAGAAGTTTTAAATATTCAGTTTTACCACAATAAAACTGTTAAACCAATACAACCATACTTCAGAGCACGAAGTACGTATAATTATTATTAATATTCCTATACATGTCGAATACTGTATATACGTGTAAATGCCATTCATAACACGTTCACAACACAAATTAGCCGCTCACGCGATACGTTATCCCTGTCTACTCGGCCTATAAAGGATGCAAATTTGCAATTTAAACCAACCGCAAAATGGCGGCTATAACCCTAGAACCCTGCTACTCTAAGTTATAACCGCGAAAAGATGACTTTGACGTCTTTGACAATACCATGCACTGTTGCCACCTGCAAATGTGCTTCTACTGCATTGAATACGAGTATTTAAGATGTCGTGAGTGTTGTGTGTCGGTGTAGTGAGAACCCTAGTGCACAAATAAGTAATGAAGATAAAGTGCGGGTAGTTAGAAAAACGCGCACAACTAGAAGATGCTGACACCCGCCTCTTCAGTCCCTGCGAGACCATGGACGTTGCAATATGTCCGAAACGTCGAGGTAAATAAAATATGTTTATACGTGATTAAGTCCCGAATTAAAAATCAAATAATTTCATACTTCATTTTTTGAACGTTCCGCTTTACACAAACGGACGCACGCACGCACGCACGCAGGCACGCACGCAAGCAGGCACGCACGCACGCACGCACGCACGCACGCACGCACGTACGCACGCACGCACGCACGCACACACACGCACTCACACACACATATACACATACATACATATAATAGATACTCTTTGCAAAAAAGCAATTGATCACTTGCATTTACTTCGTCATTTACAACGACTTCAATCAAATTACATATATTTTTTGTATGTAGTTCTTCACACATAATACCACCACGAAGGTTGGGGGGGTCAGTTGGGGGGTCGGTTAGTGTGCCGGTTGGGGGGTCAGTTAGGGGCTCAGATAGGGGCTCGATTAGGGGGTCCGGTTGGAGGTCGATTAAGGTGTCGGTTTGGGGGTCGATTAGGTGTCGGTAGGGGGTCGGTTAGGGTCCGGTTGGGGGGTCGGTTGGGGACCGGTTAAGTGGTCGGTTGGGACTCCCTAACCGACCCCTTAACTAACCTGCTAACCGACCCCCAACTGACCCCTAACCCTCAACCGATCCCCTAACCGACCCCCTAACCCACCCCAAACCCATCCCCTAACCCATATTCGTAATGACACTTTTACTTGATAGTTTCGGTTTTAATTGTTAGTTTCAATTGTTTCTTAGAACAACTAATAAAATTAATCAAATTGCAATTAAAATCAATTCAATCGAAATCAATTGCAATTGAATAGATTTTTTAATCTGATTGAAATTTAATTGATTAATGCCCAACACTGATATAAATCTATGCACGTCACACAATAGGCTGTACATTGAAAAGAAAAAAGTATTTTGTTGAAATGTATTTTACAACGAAAGTATTTGAAATACAAATTACAAAATACATTACGGTCAGGTATTTGAAATACCAATTACAAAATACATTTTTAGGGAGTAATTGAAATACAAATACAAAATACGTATTTGTATTTTAAATACGTATTTCAAATACAAGTAATTCAAATACTGCCCAGCCCTGCCTATGTGTAACAATCGCGAAAACCTAAGAACTCGATACTCTACTATAGTTAGAACAAAAATACTTCACCTAAGGTTGGACCGCGACTTTCAATACACTTCAATCGGTTTTATTTGGGATACATTGTTTAGTGCTGATAAAATCATATTTATAACACTTCTTTAGTATGGACGCTGTACTGAAGTTTACTTATAAGTGGGTGTTAGTGAGCGCTTTAAAGAGATTCTTTTAAACATTTAATTATTCATTCACAATGTGTGTCCATAACCTATAGCAAAAACAAAATTACAAAAACCGTACGATTCCCGCCATTACCGTGCTTTTATTCCTCGTTTAGAAATGTGAATAAAGTTGGCATTTATAATGTGAAACTTCCACTATACTAAAAAAAACGTGTAATTTATAAACGAGAAAGAAGATTCACAACTTGTCCTAAAGGATGGAAAATTCTTTATTGCATAATGCAAATATCACTTCTTCCAGAAAAAAACACATTTTCGTTTAGAATTAAACAATGTACAAATGTCACAACATTTAACATTTATTGATTGATTCAAAACATGGTTATGTTGTTATTTTAACAAAAATAAAAGTTTTTTAACAAAACGACGGAGCCATAGACATAAAAGTTGAAGTTGAAGTAATAAACTGCTAGTTCTAAGTATATAATAACAATGAATTTGTCACGGGTGTGTCGTTGTTGTCTCTCAGAAAATTGTTATAAAGATATTTCTAGCGAATATTTCTATGCAGGCCAAAAAGAAGTTTATTCTGATTTGTTATTTGAAACCTTCAGCCTAACCGTGAGTTTATAGAAATTTTTCTTATTTTTTAACTGCCCCCTAATAAGCTTCCCACTTTACGATTTGCTTCCCGAAAATGTTCCGCGCCCAATAAATATCAACTATTTCCTGGCCAACGCACACTCCACTAGTATTCACTTTATATGAAAAATTCCCATTTTTGAAGTCTTAATTTTTTAGAAAAATGAATATTCTTCATTCTTCCCGTATTCTCCCAATATCTTTCGTATAATTTTATTTCTTTTTCCATCCTCCATGATAATTTTCTACGTTGCTGGTCAAAAGTTTGTTACTGAACAAAAACGATGCCTAACTTTCTTTTACTAAACGATTTTATTTTTTTATTTCATTCTAAATAAAACTTCCTAAAATATTTTCCAAAAGAAAGAAAATAACATGAGCCCTCAAATTATATTTTTATAATGTCATTAAAAAACATAAAATGAAAAAATAAGATAATATAACCGTCAATGTGCATAATAACCGCTTAAGTATTTCATAACCGGCACTCTATCTCACCACTGCACTACATGTCTTTCAACCCTGACGTTGGCGAAATCGTCGCGCGAAACGACAGAGCCATAGATACAAAAGTTGAAGTTGAAAATAAAGCACGTTCAGAACCGTCTGAATTTCGAATTTCGTAGCACAACTGACCTTTTCATAATCACAGTACCTACATCATAGAATGCCTCAAATGAATGTAATAACATTACTGGCCGCTTTCTATATTTGATCCTGAATCTATGATTGTTTGCTATCCAGATTTTATTTGATCCATCAATTGCTGCCAGATCTGTATTTCAATATGTCTATCTCGGCTCTAGCTTAAAAAGAAAGGATCGGTTGTAAATTTACGCCCTCTCTGAAGTTTAGTTCCACGCAATCAAAATGGTGTTTATGTTTCTAAGATTGATTTATTTATACATGGATGTTACATGTGCTTTTGGCAAAAATATAAATTGATTGTAAATTTTCAAGTATAAAATATTTAAACCGTCAAACGAGTGGGACGGCCATATAGGAAGAAAAAAATAAAGGGACGGCGCGCGGCGGCGGCGAAATGTTAGTGTCAATCACAGACCACATAAATACTGTGTCAATTTATGTTTTGTTGATGTTTGTTCGTATTCGTGACTTGATAAATAATCTAAATTATAAAAATACCGTTTTGATTTGACTTTGTTAAACGGCATTATTTGATTTAAAACAAATTCAACTTTCTCAATTCAAAATTCAATTTTGTTCAGCCTAAATTTGAATGTAAATTCAGCATCAGTTAAACTTGCCATGAAGTTTATACGCCTAAACGTTCTTGAAAACACAAGCTACTCTTGGTCGCTGTCGCTATTGTCCCAGTCCGATAACCGAGCAAATTGTTTAAGATCACAGTCGCTATCACTTAAAAATAACTTCCATCGTCACATGATTGCACAGTACAATCGATCAAAATTGGCGGATCACTACTATAGATCAAATATATTCAAATTCCGATTTATCGAACCTATGGATCGATATTGAAAGCGCACAACTGTCACTACCATACAAATGTAAATCTAAAAATGCCATACGCCCTCCAACAGATCGATTGAAACAAAAGATAAGAATAACGATCCATAAATCGGTTAGTGAAATAGTAAAAATAGGATTTGGATTGATTATTCAAGCTCAGATAGCAAATTATGGATTGAGATTTAATATAGAAAGCGGCCGTAAGCAAACAATTGAACATTTTACGTAAAGTAATCTACATCCCAACTCATACATCCCACTGCTGAACACGGGTCTAATCCAAGGACAGGGTGTAAGCTATTGTTTACCGTTGATTAAAAAATTATCTTTAAGTATTTATATTTTTTCAGATTTCATACTTAGAAGATGAAAACCGACTAATCTGTGAAGAATGCATTGAGAAGCTGAGGGCAGCTGCAGCATTCCGAAAGCAGGTGGAGGACACCGAGGAATCCATCTGTAATATATCCAGAGGACTACAACAGGGTAAACATTTCTCAAATTGTATTTTTTTATTCTTTGGCAGTCTTAATTGCACCAAATAAATAACAAAAGAAATATTAATCTACATAAAAGGTGACTAAAAGTTTAGTACTTAAGGAAGGAAGCCTGTGGATAGATACAATCTAAATTTATTATCTGATACCCTTACGTAAGAACCATCTCTAATTTAAAGTACTACATACACACAGACACAAACACACCCAGGCAACCACACTGCTGTAAAGTTGCCTGCTTATCGATGGCCTACAGGATATATTACAGAGAGTGTCCAATGGAAATGCATGATCTAATTCTGTCTTCCCCATTCCATCATCGTGGGACTATTAATACTTTTACTCAATTTCTCCACATATGTATAAAAATGAAATTTTTAAATAAAGTCACACATTCGTGGAACAGCAACGTGTTCCACAAATCTGTGATTGTATTTTGGTTGATATTTATTTAACCTTGCTTGTTCAATGTTTGTTATTTTTTTTCTTATAGTGTAACTTTTTGTGCTTATCAAATAAAAAAGCTATAACTTTGTATATAAACATATATTTTATTCAATATTTCAAAAGAGTCCCAATGAAGAATAAAATTCACTTAAAAATCACACTGACCTCTAGGGCTCAAACTATGTATTCCTTTATAGAATCCGTACCACAGCCAAAATCAGATTTCAAAGAATTGGAAGAAACATCAGAGCATGACTCCGACTTCATAGATCATTTAGTGGATGAGGAATTCACATGGCAAGATGACCAGATGGCAAATGATGAAGGTAATGTTTTATTTTATTATATCAAGTGACGGGTCGTACAAGTCTTGGACCTGATGAGTCAAAGTCAAAGTCAAAGATTATTTATTCCATAGGTAAAATAAATTTACACTTGAAAACGTCACATTTAAGCTACTGCTCGTTCACTACGCTGACCTCCCTGAGAAGAACGAGCAAGAAACTCTAGGGATTGCTCTTTTCAAATAAACTTAAATGCTATGGAATACACTTTGAATCAAATTTGTGTGGATTCTGGAGCCATGTCGTCTTTCCATACATCTTTATCTAACACGTAGTCTTCAATTTTGTAATATGATTTTTCGATCAAAATATTTTTAATGTAGTTTCTAAACTTAGGAAATGATAAACTTAATATATGCTCCGGAATCTTATTGTAAAAACGTATACAGTTCCCCATAAAAGAGTTGTTTACCTTGGTTAAACGAAATCGTGGTACCATGAGTTTGGACTTAGCTCTAAGGTTAATATTATGGATATCTTCTTTCTTATTGAAATTATGTATATTTTTACGGGCATATAAAATATTTGAGTAAATGTACTGTGATGCCACAGTCATGATACCAGTCTCCTTAAAAGTTTGAGTCTCTGAGACTGTTTTGACTCTGAGAGATACCCGAGAGCCTAGACGGTACACAGAACGAATCGCTCGTTTTTGCAATACAAATATGGTTTGAATATCCGCCGCTTTACCCCACATGAGAATCCCGTAGGACATTATACTATGGAAGTAACTAAAGTAAACTAGTCTAGCAGTACTAACATCGGTAAGCTCACGTTTTCTGCGGACTGCGTATGCAGCGGAGCTTAATCTGCTGGCCAGGCACGATATATGTGGAAACCACTGAAGTTTACTATCTAAGGTCACTCCCAAGAAGACTGCTTTATTAACAAGGTCTAACTTTTCTCCGTTTATTTCTATGGTTGGACTAGTCGATTTTACGTTAGGTAATTCAAATTTAACACATTTTGTCTTCTTGGCATTAAGCAATAAATTGTTAGCATTAAACCAATAAACTACCTTAGAGAGGGTATCATTAATACGGTCATAGTTATTGTCATGTCTGTCTGTTTTAAAAATCAAGGATGTGTCATCAGCAAACAACACTATTTCGCAATGGTCCTTAACAAAGAATGGCATATCATTAATATAAATCAGAAATAAGAAAGGTCCAAGTATTGAGCCCTGCGGAACACCCATTTTTACTGGAGAACCCAAAGAAGTCACTCCATTTATGTCTACTTTCTGAATTCTACCGTTGAGATATGACGAGACAAGTTTCGACGCCTTGCCATTTACACCGTAATGTTCCAGCTTCCTAATAAGAGTATTATGATCAACGCAATCAAATGCCTTTGAGAGGTCACAGAAAACACCAATAGCGTTCTGGGACCTTTCCCAAGCATCAAAGATGTGTTTCAGTAACGCTACCCCCGCATCGCTAGTCGATCTACCACTAGTAAACCCGTATTGTTCACTATGAAAAATATGATTCCTACCGAAATAGGACAGTAATTGAGTTAGCATAACCTTTTCGAATATTTTACTTAAAGCTGGTAAAATTGAAATGGGCCTATAGTTGCTAGGATCAACTTTCCCACCGCTTTTGAATAAGGGAATAACCTTGCTGTATTTCATTAAATCGGGAAAAACACCTTCGTCAACGCACCTATTGAAAGCTACAGCTAAATGTGGGGAAATGAGATTAATAACTGAGTCTATAACTTTAGTTGATATGCCCCAGAGATCTTCAGTTTTTTTAACATGTATTGACTTAAAAGCTTTTATGATGTCTTGTGGAATTAAATAAACTGCCACAAACGTTAACATTTTCCTTTAAGAGATCA